TTTTTTTTTTCATAGCCATATAATCTTGACATAATGCCATACTAAGTACCCGAACTTTTTGCTTAGTCTCGAGCTGGACCAGTTTTTCTCCGTCCACCGCTGTAGTGATTTTGCGGACTGCATTATTTACAGCTCCGTGTTGTGTTAGGCGATCTCTCTGCTGTATACAAATCTTGCAGTTTTTTGCAAATGTTAAAATTTATTTTTTAATAAAACCACATTATTATACGTTTGCTTGTTTCTCTCGCCGAGATTTTGGTCATTTCTTCAGCTGCATATTTGTGCATAAAATTGTTTCTGTTAGTGACCGTTTGGTGGAGTTTTGTTAGGTCACGTTGTCAGCTCAGTGTATTCATCCGTGCGCTGTACCGAACTGTACAAGTTTGTTTAATAAACCCTTGTTTTGATTTGTGCCAGAGTTGCTTACACTGGCCAGCGGCATGGGCAGTGTTTTTGAATCACTCCCATTTCTTATGCTGCACCGGTCCAGGATCGAGTTTAAAGGCTCGGGGTTTAAAACTTTTTAAATTCTCAGCTTCGGCATGACCTCAAAAACAGAGTTTTTGCGATACACATTGTCGTAACATTCCGGGATTCCTGACTCCTCTCCTCCTTTGTAAATATGCATCTGTGAGAGCGTCTGTGAGTTTGCTCGATGTTAAACGCTCATTGTTTCATGGAGATGCCGGGTTTCGATGCTCGAGTAATGTACTTGGTGCTGAGGTCCGATCTGATCAGCGACCTGAAGTGGACAGTTGGTGCTGTTGCAACACAGGCTGCTCATGCAGCAACTGCCTGTATATGGACATTCCGAGAGGATAACGAAGTGATGGAATATATGAATGATATCAGCCGTTTACGGAAAGTAACTCTCAAAGTATGGCATTATTTGTTTAAAAAAAAGTGAATATCATTTTGCCTATGACTGGTGCATGGGCCTGGAACACATCTGATACACATCTGAAACATTTTAGCATTTTGGCCATCTGTAAATACGCCTTATCACTGCGATGTGCCACGGCTAGCATGGTGTGCGTTTCTCAGTAGCATCAAAAGCTGCAGTCTGTTCGAGAGTGTGTTCATTTTTGGGAACTAAAGTCTTTCCACTTCGCTGGTTCCTGTTTTCTAAAATCAGTGCGCATTTCAGCTTTGAACATCCGAGAACAAAAGTGCTTGGTGTAGCTGCGTCCGGTGTGTGTGAGTGTATTTTTCGTTTGTGCTGCAGCTCCGCACTGGGAATCCTGATAGTCATATGCTGCTTGAGAGAGACAATTAGCAGGATATTTTGCCGACTTCCTGGAAGACTTCATTAATAAGTTTATTCTTCAGTAGCAATACAGCGCTGCAAATGTGTATGGAGATTTTTAGTTTGCTTCATTACAGCAGAGTTTTTCTGAGATAGCAGACTACTGTTCCCAGGGTGTCGGCTGAACAGTTGTTGGTGCGACGTAAAATTATAGTAATGCCATTCAGCAATCCATTTGTCCATCTGTTGATTCTTGTCAC